AGTATTTTCCAACGTTCCAACGAGGGAAACATTGTTACTTGCTGATATTATCAACACCAAAATGATAGTTTATATGGTGCTTGGCTAGCAAGGTGCATTGGTGCTCTGATGCATCAACATATGGTACTTCAGGACCTAATGTTTCACTTCTTTCTTGATTTCATAATGGATCTTTGGTCACTTCAAGTGATCTTAGGATCCTAATGTTATTTGATGAACACAATTCGTTCATGCAAAATTACTTTCCCACTTTTTCAACATTACCTTCCTTGCCCATAAAAAGGATCTTAAATCCTTCAATTTAACTTATGTCTCTAAGCAATCAACATCTTTAGGAAACTCTTCAGGAGCTCCAATAATACTCATATCATCAACATAATATGAGATCGTCACAAAAAAAAACTTGACTAAAACAAATTGAAGCAAGCAATTCTTTCATATCATGAAAGATATTAACAAAACACACATCATAGAAACATATGAACTATACAAAGCACACTCATAAAACACAACTCATACTTTAAAGTAAATCACAACTTATAAATCAAGAATTTAAAATCCTTGAAGCACATACAGACAACACCACTATATATGCACAATGCAAATGCTCTAATGACTCTATCCGGATTTAACCTTTTAACGTCCATTCACCCTACTGTTGTAGGTGTTCACTTAGACGAGTATTTCACATTCGTCTATATTGTCTCAACCCACACAAGGGGTTTTCTTAGTCTATCGATATATGTTCTCGAGAATTTTACTTGTTTACTTCAGGTAAATTAATCCTTCTAGGAGTAATTAATCCTTTTGGGAGTTTCAAATATATATAACATCTTCAGGGAATTCAAACAAATAGGTATTACAACAATTTTCAAACATTGATTTGAAAAAGTAGTTGCATCCACCACAGGGGAGTATAACTTCTCTTAAACAATAATAGGTCTCTTCGAGAAACCCATTGCAAAACATTATGTGATATATCTCACAATTTCATACTTTCCAATAGCACAAAAATTTGTTTGTATCCCACTATTTTTGCCCTTTTTTTAGGTGCAAGGACTTTCGGTCCTTAAACTTTATGCTCCTTGAGCAAGTTTCATGATTTCTTTCTATATTGGCCAATAACATCATCATTTGCATGCATCAATAGAGTTTTACTCTTGATCCTCACTTGTACATATCATATTCAGTACTGAAGTACAACAAACAAATTTCATCGACAATGACTTCATTACGGTTCCAGTATTGTAGTCCAATATATTTATGAGATCTCTTCCCTTTCACAACTTTAAGAGACATGTGTTCTTGTGGAACTAAAATTATACTTAATTCTTGGTTACACTTCTTGATTTTTCATGTCCTCGAGTTGACCATTCTAATTACAGCTCCTTTTCTTTCTCGAGGATGTTTATCATTGGAACCGATTGGTCTATCACGCTTCATGCGCTCTTTCATACACATTTTTTTATATTAGAGTATCCAACAAGGATATCAAATTTAGTTGGAGCATTCACAACTAGTATATGTGACTTGGTCACTTTGTATGGTCAGTAAAGACATTTGATAGTTGGTAATGATAATTCATCTTATGAACTTCCGGTTCATGTTTCTTAATTTGAGGATCAAAACTAGATATAATGATAACTCATTCCAACTCATCTTTTTGTCTAGCTGTTTTTTTTTTTTCTCTCCCCCTTAATGTTGGAAAAGTAATCCATCAAAACAATAATTTCGCAAACAAATTTCCCATTCGGGATTCATACCCAACACAAATTCTCAATCTCTAATGAGAATCAACTTAAGATACTGTGGTGGAGCAATTGGGATGTATGTGGCACACCCTTATATTCTCATATGGGAAATGTTAAGTTTATGACCAAAACCATTTGTAAAAAGGGGGGAACTTATGATAACTTGTTGGTTAGATGTGAACCAATACTATCACTTGCCAGCTAGCATGTCCTCGATAAGAGACCAGAAGGCTCAGTTTGTTCTCTTAGCAAAGTGATGTTTGATTGGATAACCATCAAAATGTATTTATAGTGAGGCAATCAATCTCGCAAACATCGGGTTGCGATTAGATAAAATAAAAGTGATCATCCATTTGATGCAACAACCCATAAAATTCACAAATGATCCACATGACTGATGTATTGTTCTGCATACACGTCCATAAAATATCAAGAGATTTGCCAACTCTTATACAAGCGATGATCAATTGTTCTATTCTCCTTGAGAACAAACATGGCATAATAACTCTTTTAGTTGAAGATTTCTTTGAATTATCATATGATGTTCTCATGAATTCTCAAAGAACCTTTTTCCACATCAAGATCCGGGATGGTCTAACCGGATCAACCAATTATCAAGTTATCAAATCTTGTAAACTTCTGGTTTACACTTTTATGTGTACTGATAGTACTAATATACATGTAGTACATATTTGTGATGCAAATATTAGTTTTACTATTTTCTTGATAAGATATTCATTTTATGAATATCCTTTTAATTGGGTAATGCATCATCACTAGGTAGTTTGGGTCCTTCAGGCCACAAAACATTAGCTCTTTTAGAGCTTTACCATATTTTGTATCATATTTCGCCCTTCCGGAGACTTATGATTTGATGCATTCTTAGTAAACACATATTCATAGTGAATATCATCACAAATTATTATCATGAGTACATAATTTAGTTACTTCAAGTAACCAAACATAAGCTCTTCGGAAGCTTTTTCTCATTTATGTACTCTACCATATAGTTTATATGTAATTTTTATAACAATCATACTTTACAAAAACATACTAAAATAATAAATGAGAATATTTCAAACTTAAGACAAATTGAAGAACTTATCAAGTTAATTGTTCTAGATAAATGTTATCAAATTAAATTATGCATGAAAAATAACGTCACAATAAAACATAAAAGAAATAAGAATCATAATACCACAATTGCGAAAAATAAATAAGATTTATTTGGAACAATACCATCACTAACTAGGTGATTTTAAATATATATATATGCGTTTCATTATACATTATAATGTACAACAGGTACATTATGTTATCATGACTTTGATAATGCAATTATGGTGTCATCCTTATTTATAATTCTCATTTTTCTCCTCTTTTCTCACTTCTGGTGAAAAGATCCATACAATACATTTATCATATATATAATTATGTTTATAGTTTCATTCACTTTGGGAAATATATTATTTCATTCACTTCTGAGAATGAAAATGTCTCAAGTGCAATGGTAACATAAAGAACCAATATTCTTATTACCATGTCCTTTTTCTTTCTTTGCCCTTGAATTCTTCAATTTCCACTTCTGGGGAATATATGGGCTCTTGAAACTTTCATTTTCCACATATCAATGTATGATGGATAAGAATAGGATAACACTGAGAACTGAGAAATTAACTCATCACTTATATTACTTTTCTTGTTAATCCAAATAGATCGACGTGATAAAATATCAATGGATACGAGAAGTAGCACCCATCTTGATATATTGGAATGAGATAATCTCAACACAAATAAGACAATAAGATAAGAAAGGATCTAAGAATTACATACCTTGATCATATTGTGATCTTACTCCAATATCTTAGATTATGTCAAGAGTCTTTGAGCAATGATAATTTTGGCAGAGCTTCGTGCTGATAACGTGTTATGAAACTAATGGAAAATATAAACAACTACAAGAGAAGATTAGAGAGGGAAAGACACAAAGAAGAGAGGAAAGTGAGCTTTCTTATTCATTCTTCACTTTTGATACAATAACATGCTCTATTTATAGGCACACTTTGGTAACCACTACATCCTTATATCAATGCATATGAATGAGAGATAAAATGTAGGAATAGGGGTTACATGTAACTCCCAAGTGAGCATCTAATGTGGTAATGGCAATGGTCATCCATATATCAATATTTACATAATATTTTAATTATTTTCACAATTTTTCTACGATAGCGATGTAAGAAACTTCGCTCCCCCACCCCTGGAACACCAAATCCTGGCACCGCCCCTATAACTACTTCTTTCATTTTTTTCCCTTCCTATTTCCTTTTCTTTGATCTACCAACTTTCATCTCATCCCCCAACAGACTAGATGGCAATTTGAACCCATCCGGCGGGTACTATCCGAGCAAACTTGCGATGAGGTGGGTATTACCCAACCCGCAATAGCATGGGGCGGGGATGGGTATCTAATAGTGACCCGCCCTACCCCGCCCGGTTCTTGGCCCATTCTATCTCAATTTCTTATAATATCTATTTATATTTTGACTATTTTGACAATTCTTCAACTAGTTAGAGTCAATCGTTCAACTAGTTAGACTCAATTACTCATTCTATTATCAGTATTTTTCATTCATAAGTATTTTCCCATCCGTTTAATTGTAAAAAGTAAAATTTTACTTATATTTTTTTCAAATAACATATAAGAGTGGATCGACCCGCCCATACCTGTGCAAGTATTACCCTCCCCGACCCACAATAGCATGAGACGGGGCATTACTATTTACTATTTAGATACCCACACCACGCCATTGCCATCACTACAAGATACCGATCATCTCCTACCACTTCTGGAAATAGCGCAAATCTGCACCGTCATAAAGCTCTATCAGTCAAAGATTTATTGATCTGCAACCTCCTTTAGCAACAGTCACCAGCGGCTTCCTTCACTGCTGTCGTCTTCTACCTTGTTTCACAAGGATTAGGCTAAAATAATTCCTATTTCTTGTACCTGAAGAAGGAGGAAGTAGACCCTTCCATAATCTCAATCCATGCCTTGATATAGTGAAGACTGAAGATGAAAGAAGATAGAGAGTTGGAAAGGGAATTCTTGAAGTAGAGCGTCCATAGAAGGAACAATGAATCTAGTAGGTACCAATGAGTGAAATGGTTTATGAAATTGAACATTTCTTGAAAGGATTTAATTGAAGTCAATGAAGACATGATCGAATCAATGAATTGAAGTGGATGAAGAAAATAACTCGAAAATTTAGAGAAAAATAGGAAGAAGAAGACAGAGAGAAGAGGAAAGAGGTTTATGGACAAAATTGTTTTCTTGGGTTCTTCCAATCAAATTCCAATTCCAAACCATTCTTCGGTTAACCATTCTGACCGCTATCTGGCAGGCTAGTCTTTTGTTGGCAGTTTTTTAGTGGATTCGTGGTCAGGTCTGGGTTTTATTTGTGTACCCTTTAAACCCATGAGTTAGTGCCTCAGCCTATACTTAATGGACATCGACAAGATCATAAAAAAAAAGTAGCGAAGTCCAAACCATTCTCTACTAGTAACGGTATAAAAGTTTGTTTGTTCATGATATGCTACTTGTTAGCATATGTTCCCATTCTCTACCTTGCCAAAGGATTTGACTGAATTGCTGGATAATCACGAAGAAGGGACTGAAGCTCTTCAACATAAATTCCTAGATGGCTGGAGCTTCCCTTTTGCGGCTCTGCACCTGCTTCGATCTGTTTTATCTTCTTCCCTGCCGCCTCCTCTGCTAGTACATCTTCATGAAATAGCTTGAGAGCATTGGTCGTTGTAATAGAATTCACCGACTCATACAATTCGTGAAATTTCTTTCTCTTTTCCTCTGGTTGAACCAATTTTTCCTTCAAACCATCCGGCAAGGAAGAAAGCGCACTTCATGGAGGAAAGAGAAGCATAAAAATTAGAGAGCACAAAAAATTTGGTACAAACCCAAGGATTCAAAGACCTCCCGCGCAAGATACCTCAGGAAAAGAAGAAGAAGATGATGAAGATAATACCTAGTAACGCCCCTAACGGTGCCCCAGTTGTATCCTGCAATCACTGACTGCTTAAACCCAATGTTGAATCCCTCTTGAGCGATAGTTTCTTTCCCTGCAATCAGGCCATCACGATATCCAATCTGGTGTTTTTCCAAACAAGATTAACATAACTTGTTCAAGAAACATGTATAGAGGACAATTCAAAAATAGGCTTAGAAACTACAAGCAAGCTTGAAAATTAAAAATTTACTGCATGAAACTCGTCGCGTCTCTTCTGCCACTCCCTATCCAAATCAGAAGGTTTATCCAATCCATCTTCTGAACCACCCCACAGAGATCCATCATCATTATCATCCTGCAAGTCGCCTTCACATAACCTCAAATTAGGTAGAACAAAAGTTCATGCCCTTGAAAGCTATGCAAAGAAGGGCTTCCACGCAAAACACAGACTGATCCCAAAATAAACGAAAAGGAAAAGGAAGGTATTCTTTTTCTAATACATGGTGATTCACTATTGCATAGTTGATATAGAAGCCGTGTAAGCTCTGGTAGGTTGAAAAGGTTACACATCTATGCCCTTCCAATGACATTTTTCTGTTCAATGCTATAAGCTAGGTATAAAGAAGGAAAGCCCAGACTTTGACAAATCTGTTCCAGCAGTGAAAACAAAATAGAAAGAGCATGTCAGCCTCTAGAAATCCCATGTTCTACAATGTCAATCAACATGAAATCCATCGGGCAGACGTGGAACTTACCCACTGTTGTATTATGTGCACAAACACCAGATAGAGATCATGTGGCAGACTTAGTCATGATGATTCAACCACTGATTCCAACATACCATGGTTCAATAATCTGACTCATTTGATTCCAAAAACAAAGTTCATCGATTCATTAGATCCAGAAACCTCTACCTTCACATGTCACAACACACACGCAACTCCAGCAACAAAGTACTCAACCACATTTACCAGATAAGAGTAGACAGAGAAAAAAAAAACAGAAAATGATGCTCAGGCATCCTAAATCGACTAACGAACTCCAAACCCCTAGGTAAGCAAGAATCAATTCTTAAAGAGGTTTTCAAAATAACAAGTCAAGGGTTTCACAACTGCTTTCCAACTGGCCTCAAATCATGAATTCCAGCAAAAACTTGGCATACAAATCGTTCATAATGACAGGACTGAAGCTTAATTAGCCAAAGATCCAGTAGAGTGCTTACAGCCGGGTGTGGCTGGATCAGCCAATTGGGCAGTAGCAAGATCCAAGCTTTCCGAGTAAAGCTCCTTAGCGAAACTTCTATCCATCCCTAAATCTTATTGAGATGCCCGCTGTATGATCAATCTCTAACCAAGTTGCCGCCAGGCGAACTCAGCCGCAAACACCAACCAAGTAATTTCGTGCTTTCCGCTGTCTCCCCCAAAGTAGCTCCCTCTTCCTTTGCCGCGAAGAGGACCAGCAATCCCCAGCAAATTTAACCCCACAATCTTAGGGTTCGAGTGGTTCCAGCATGTAACAACCCGGAACAGAGCTGGCAGGGTGACGTGTGCAGAGAGCTGCCAAGTATAAATATGAGGAGTCGTGTTACACCAATTAGCTATGTTTCATACATCCAGAATGAAAGTAGGAAGGATATTTTGGTTTTCACAATTTTTTTTTTATTCATTAAAAAGACACTTATTAGGATTCAAATCATGACCACTTTAAAGAAAAGCAAAGATCATAACCAATCACACTAAGTACATTTGTTGTATTTTTTTTTAAATTAAAAATATATAATCGCAGAGAGGAAAAAACCCTTCCCTCTTTTCAAATTCCCTGCTCCAGAAGCGTTTGTAGGAAGGGTAGAATACGGAGTGTCAATTTTTTTCTTTTTCCTCTATAGAACGGGCCAACTTACCGTACACATGCGGATTTAAACAGGTCCTGGCAAGAAGCGTTTGTAGGAAGGGTAGAATAGGGATTTAAGTCCTTTTATTTCTCCGTGGTGGTAAAATATATATGAAAAAGCAAAAACAATACTCCTTTTAATTGCTAAAAAGAAAAAATTTAACAATAAACTAATGCATGGATTCCAATGGGCTAACCGCTAATCATAAAATAAAAGAGTTGAATGGGTCGGATCTACACGGGATTTTCCCATCAAGTAAAACAAATGAACATCATGAGTTTGCCATTCTAAAATAAGCTATTTTCTCTAGCATAATATATATTATGCTATTATTTTATATCTTAGTGGCTAAAATATAATGTATTTTAAAGTTATTCAATCATTCAACCTAGACCAACCCAATTAGTCCAATTTTTATCATTTCAAATATATATTATGTAATTATTTGATATCATAATGATTAAATTATAGTGTATATTATAGGAAATCATTTGGTATTTGTTAGTAAAAAACTAAACAGAAAGGTCTATTTGGTTATTTTTAACATTAAAACGATCCTAAACATTTTCAGTTTTCTTTCGAAATTCTATAGTTTTATTCCGAAATTAGTGATGTGCAAATGGCGAATTGCAGTCATCTCTTTTCTTTCATTATTTTTTATTTTCAAATAGAAAGTTTAAAAGTAAAGAATAATTAGAGTTTGGCATGAGTCGGTCAAACAGGCTGAATTTCAAGTTTTTGCCCATTTTGATCAAGTCTAATTTGTAATCACATGGTTTCCTGATAGTCGATAAAAATCTCAATCCAAACCAGTTTGGCAGGTGAGTCCGTGTTTAACACATTTTCTAGGGATACAGGAACGGTGGTTCCTATCCCAAATCGTGTTGTTCATTCTTGATTTCTTTAGATTTTATCATGGCTTGGCAAAAACCAGAAAGCACAATGATGACAAGATGAAAGTTTTATAAAGCAAATTAATCGGCCAACGGGCCGAGTAAAAGCTAGCAACGATTGTGAGATGCTCATTTCCCGAAAACCGGCGGGATAGGCGATTTTTTATTCGATTTTCTGGAATTCGGTTTCTATAAAACTTACTCCACCTCATCATATTACCAGAAACAATATTGTTTCACAAGTAACAGGTACTTGATTTTGGTTCATAAGGGTGATTTTTTATTCGTTGCATCATTCATGTCTCTTTCATACTAAAATTCACTATTTTTATCACATGTTTCCCAAAAAAAAAACTATACAACAATAAGCTATACACCCCATTACATTATCAAATTTCATACCTCACCTTCCTCCGGCCAAATGGCCGGGGCCCACGCTAGTTAGAAATAAAACCAAAAAATTTTCCCTCCATTCTATCTTCTTCTGTCCCGTCTCTCCTTCCCATTTCGCCGGATTCAACCATTGACGATCCTTACAAGTGGTATCAGAAGGCTTTCCTCTGACAATGGCGACAAATACTTTTCGCATCGTGGATTTGGAGACTCAGATGACAGAGGTTCAATTGAAGCTCGATACTCAGTATCAAGATCTGAAGGAAGCCATTTGTGCTTTGACGGCTTCAACGAAGGATAATATTGACACTCTGGCGGCTTCCATTGCTAGGGTGCGGGAGAAGTCATCGGTTCGCTCGCCGCCGCATGCCAATACAAATCATTTCTCCGAGCACCAACACTTTCGTCACCAGCAGTGTCGGTCGTCGATTCTCGATCACTATCCCCGCCTTGAGTTTTCTTCCTTCTCCAGGTCAGATCCGCATGTGGGTCAGCAAATGTATCATGCTCTTCCAACTCTACTCTATTCCCGAAGAGCAAAAGATGGAGTTGATTTCATATTACCTGGAAGGCAGAGCTCATACATGGTTCGAAGGATGGTCTTTCGGAAGATTTATGTTGATTTGGGGGCAATTCGTCGACGAGTTGCTTCGTCGATTCGATAATCAAGAGCATCTGAATGTGGTGGCGTCTTTCAATCATCTTCGCCAAACGAATTCTGTTTCTCGCTATCAAGAGGATTTTGAGGACTTACGCTCACATATGCTTCCCCTCAACCTGGCGCTTAACGAGCAATTCTTCATCCTCATCTTCTTGGGGGGGCCTTGACAATGAAATCCAGCCTCACATATAGGTGCTTAATCCTCCTACTTTGGCATGTGCCTTCTATCAGGCTCGACTAGAGGAGGCCGCCATTAAAGTTTGCAAGTGGAAGACTCGTAAGACGTCTTCTTATCGCTGGTCGGTTGCTGCTTCACCGGTTTCGACAAAGTCTTCACAATCACCTCCTTCTTTTCCCTCCACCGATCAACCTTCCGTTCATCGCGGGCAGAGCCTTTCCTACAAATACGGCGACAAGTACTTCCACGGTCATATATGTGCTCGAAAGAAGCAGCAACAGGTTATGCATGCTGAGGAATCTCCATCGCCAAGTGAAGATGAAGATGGTGAAGAAGACTTCCACGACGCTGAGCTTGAGGTTTCTCTGCAGGCTATGGGTTCGGGATTTTCGGGTAATTCACCTTATACTAGCTATAGCGAGGCACAAGGAGGTAACTATTCTTATTGATACTGGAAGTTCTCATACCTTCTTGAACTCGATTAGGCCTGAAGAATTGAATTGCCTGACTGAATGCATTGCTCATATGAGGGTTAAGGTAGCTAGTAGTCACATCCTGCTTAGCAATTCAGTTTGTATGGTCTTTAGTTTGAAAATGCAGGGTCAGAGTTTGGGTTTGATGTCATAACACTGGAATTGCCTTCTCATGATCTTGTTTTGGGTTGGGATTGGTTGGAAACCATCATTCCTTTTCAAGTGGACCTTAAGAAGAGGCAGTTGGCCTTTGAATGAAAAGGGGGCACTCTCACCCTTCAAGGCCTCTCTAAGGATGATCAGTGTAAGATGATGATTGGGCACAACTTCCAACAGCTCCTTAAGAAACCTTTCTCTCACCTTACTAGAGTAGTGTTTTCCATTAAAGCCACTCCAACCCCTAGTCCCACTCCACCCTTCTTGAAACCCTTACTTGCCACCTACTCAAATGTGTTTGCTGCTCCCTCTTTCCTTCCTCATACCCGCACTTTGACAATACCATTCCTCTTCTGCCATATACTAAACCCATTAATATCCATCCTTATCGTTTCTCTCCCCATCAGAAAGCTGTGGCATATATTCTGGTGGCTGAAATGCTTCAATCTGGATGGAACTTGGCGATTTTGTGTAGATTACAGGAAGTTAAATGCGGCTACTATCAAATACAAGTTCTCCATCCCACATAGAGGAGATCTATTAGATGAGCTACATGGTTCTGTCATATTCTCAAAACTGGATCTAAGGGCAGGATACTACCAAATTCGAATGTATCCAGTTGATCAGTTCAAAACTGCTTTCAGGACTCACCAATGCCACTATAAGTTTAGGGTTATGCCCTTTGTCCTCACAAACGCTTCTGCCACCTTCCATGCTCTCATGAATCATGTGTTTGGCAAATATTTGAGGCAGTTTATTCTCATTTTCTTCGACGACATTCTTGTATACACCAAGACAGAAGAGGCTTATCTACATCACGTGAATATTGCGTTGCAGTTGCTGAGGGATAATCAATTGTTTGCCAAAGAATCTAAATGTGAATTTGGGCAACCAAAGTTGAATACCTGGGACACATTATCAGCAAGGAGGGTGTAGCTACTGATCCTGATAAAATCTCGGCAATGCAGACTTGGCCAGGCCCTCAGACTATTAAGCATTTATGAGGATTCCTGGGTTTAACAAGCTATTATCGGAAATTTATCCGGGATTATGGTACCATCAGCTACCCTTTGACTGACCTACTGAGGAAGAATAGGTCAGTGGAATCCTACAGCAGAAACTTCTTTTGTTGCTCTGAAGAAGGCCATGTGTGAAGCTTCTGTTTTGGCTCTCCCTAATTTCGCAATTCCTAAGTTCAGGTCCTTAAGGCTTCTTTTTTAAGGAGAATCTTAAAGTGTTTTGATTGGCTTACTCAATTTTAGGTAGTTATTGGAGAGTTATTAGTTAAATAGTTGTTAGGGGTATTAAGGAGACTACAAAACAATTAAAAACTGCAACCCTAACCCACGCAAACGTCTCTTTATTTTCCCTCCAGCAAACGTTCAAGCCGTCCCGCTGTCTGTTTCTTCTTCCTCCCGTCGGCAGGCGAACGATTTCTCCCAGTCGTCCGTTATCCGGCCGGCGATTCTCAGCAAGAGTTCTCCACCGAGGGTAGCTAGCTCGCGCTGCAGTCATCGTTCAAGTCCACCAACGCAAAAAAAATAGCTTCCTTTGTCGCCGTCGCTGCCTGTTCTTCACCGTCGGCGGCATGTGATTCTGCTCCCGTTCCTGTTTTACACCTCGCTGTCGCTGCCAGCTCACGTTCCCGTGGTCGTCCCAATCCACCATCGCCGATTCCATAGCCGTCGTCGTCGAGCCTTGTCCCTTCTCCCACTTCCAGCCGAACGTTCTCTCTCCACAGATCCGCCGCTATCTTCCCATTTCCGTCAAGCAAGTTTCTACGACTCGTCGTTTGCCAGTCGTCTTTTGTCCTGGCCGTAGTTTGTCCGTCTTTTTTCTGTTGAAAGACTGGTTGCTTCTTCTCTCAGTCAACAACCGCCCTCGAGTTCACCCCCTCCCGCCGCTTGTCGTCGTCGGCATGTTGCGTCTGTCTCTTGTCGTCC